ATCACCCAAACACCCCTGAAGTAGATTAGTTAACTATTACCTAACTAACAACGATTTGTGGTTTTTGTAAAATCATTTCCTTAAAAGCAAAAGAGGGGAGAATTAAGTTAGCTCACATTGGCCAATATCTAAATGGTCCCAGCACACTCCTTGTACAATTTCACCATCATCCACTATGCTTTTTCATCCCGCGTTCTATGCGGAAACATGTCATGTTCTTATTTGCTATTTTTAAAATTTAAGATCTCAAATTATAATTTTATATATTTATAGGTCTTTATCTTGCAATTTCCTCTAATTTCTTCTCTCCTTCTTATAACAAGGGTAAAATTGAAAAAAATATCATTAATTACTCTTTCAATTTCTTTTTTGTTTTTTTGTTTTGCCAATTGCTCTGTCAACTTCTTATGTGTTGGACAATTTTTTTTTTAATAGAAAATTTCTTATATTATGAAGGAATGGGGTATATCTTTACTATTACTCAGACTAGGATAAACCTGTCTTGGGAGGTGTTTGGATTCAAACCAAACCATGGTTTCAAAAGTGCTTTTACGGTTTACAAAATAAATATGTGGAAAAATTTGTCTCGTTTTACAGAAAAGTACTTTTGAGAAACATTTTTTAGGGTTGCCAAACACCCATCCTGTTCTAGTAAACAAGAATGGGACGGGGTTTTTATCTTGTGTTCCGTCCTGTCCCGAGTGGGATGGGACAGAATTGGAACGAGACCAGAATGTCTTGCATAGGTTTTTTTTTAAAAAATTTAAATTGAGCTAATGCTATTTGGGTCCTTTTTTTAATCTTTTATTTCTTTTCCAATTTGGACTTCTACAGTTTTTCATCTGAACATAAATCCATGTAAAAAGGCTATATATAATAAGATATACATATATATATATATATAATTATCACATGTATAGTTCCTTTTTAGGTTTAAAAAAAAACTTTCATAAGAAAAAATTAAAAAAAAACACTATTGAAAAAAAAAAATCAAGCAGAAGCGTCAAGGATCAAATAATGAAATCAATTAGTATATAATAGTTTGTTTTATTCAGTCATTCACGTATTATTCTTGTGTTTACATGTGGCATGTGTACGAAAATATGAAGATGTTGAAATAACTTTATTTATCATTGTCATATGGACTTTTCGATCATTCACCGGCGCTGCGCCTTCTCGCCTTTTATATAAAAATGAATCTGTTAATTACTAAGTTTGGAGAATAACTCTCAAATTGCTTCTGCATCTCAAAAACTGGGTCAGGAAGATAAATAAATCTTCTAGGGGAAAAAAAGATAGAAAAAATCACTCACCCTTTTTTTGCTTAATAAAAAGCATATAGAAAACAATCTAATATAAAGTTTATAAAGTAAGACAGATGAATTAGTTTCTTTTTAAGAATTACATATACCAGATAATCCCGTCCTGATAATAAGTCCAGTACTGATGCTGTCTCGTTCTAAAAAAATTTTATTATGTCCCTTTCCAAATTGATTTTATTTATTATGCCCCTTTCCAAATTGGTTAGGATGGGGATATGCCGGTCAAGATAGGCCGAGTAACATCCAGCACTTCAGCCCCACAGGCACTGCATGAATTGAATGTGTTGTCAAATTCCCATTGACGCGGAAGGACAAGAGTAGAGACGTCAGTCTATTGCGGGGACAACTTCTCTCCCCCGCCCCATTGCTCAAATCCCAATCCTATATGTTTTCTCAAAAATATTAGTGTGATATAATAGACCTATATTATATATTTATTATTTTTTAAAATTAATTTTATTAATATTCTCTCAACAATAATCAAGTAAAAAAAAGAGAGAAATACTTAAGATGTTTTAAAAAATATATATCATATTAACTAATTCAACTAATATCTTTAATCTACTCAAGGAGTATTATTTTGAGACAAAAAATATTGTAATTTTATTTTTAAAAATATAAATAAATCTACAGTAATTTAGCAATAATTTACAGTTGTAAATTGTTCTGACCAAATTTTAACCATTCAGACTTATTTATGTAAAATTACAATTTTTTTGTCTAAAAATAATAATATCTTTAAAATATTTAACTTGGACTATTGAAATTTAATCCAATAGTAATAAAAGGGGTAGAGGAGGGAAAGGGCTACTTCCCCATTTCTCACAACGCCCACTTTTGACTCTGCGCTATAATTCCGACATTGCTTTGGGCATTTAGTGCTCGTTAATTATTTATCTAAATTTTGGTTTTTACAATTTTTACCCAAACGCTTGTATTTTGATTAAATTCATTATGACACCTTTAACCAAACACCCATTTAATATACTAGTGGCTTTTAAAGCTTCATAGGGATTAAGGAAGAGCTAAACAATAATTTAGATACTTCACATTGTCAAACATTAATAATTTAATTAGAATATTTAAATATAAGTGGACTTGATTTGATTTAGAAAGTCTCACATGAAATCAAATTTGGTATAATAAATGATAAGGCTCATACAACTTTTGGTCCCTCAAATTTGCCTTCATATAAATAATAATAGGGCTCTATAATAAATATAGAGTAGAGTGAAAGATTGTATTCCCCAAACTTGAGCCTTAAAAGTTTTGAATTGACATATAGACGCCTAGTTGATCCGGGACTTGTATGTGCCACACTATTTAAAACCCAAAGATTGGGCACGTCTTGGTTGTGGCGACAGAAACTTGGAGTTGGCCGCGTCATTTTAACGTGAGTGGATTAATGAAATGAAAGGAGACTCGGTCTTAAAGTTTCATGCAATTAACAAAATTGAACTTATCTAGTTAATAAAAATTTAGATGAGTTAGGTCCTAAAAACTCACTATGGTCAAGACATACTTCCATATTCAGAAAAAGCTCATAAAAATATTTACAGATCGCCTACTAATAAAACTTTCGCGCCAAATAAAATTGAACTTAAGATTAGATCAAATACTGTAGAACAAGACAACACCTTGAATCTCTCTGTAATGATCTGAGATCACAAATGCCTTCGGGAAGTGATGTCAAATACTTGCAGTGATAGAGCTCAAGATGTTGCAATGATAAGAGATTTCCAATCCAAGCCGGTAATCTTTCTCCACAAAATCCTTTATTGGTTAGACTTTAGACGGTATGATGTGGTTGTAGCCTATCTAAAATCAATTCGTCTTGATGGTCCTTGGCCTTTGCCTCTCCATCCAAAAGGGTACGTCCGATTGCACGGACTGTGTTCTTCATCTTTTCTACATCATCTTTAGCATTCCAAAACAGCTTGAACTCTCCAAGAGCCAAACAGGTCAATCCCTGAAAAACGTTCACAGTGATGGCGTCCATCTTTTCAGTAAGTGATAGGAAAAAAACTTTAGACCGACGGAATTACTTTAATGCTCATATTATCCGTTTCAAGCAGGATCCATATTTCATTTGCTTTTAATTCCACAGAAGGTTATTCGTTGACTTGTTGGTCTTTGCCTCTATCTTTGCTTAGTTGTTGGATTGCAGTGCAACTTACAAGGGGGTTGGCGCATTGTCAAAATATAAATGGGCATACACATATGGACATATGCCATTGAAATATACTACTATTACTTTTATTATAATTAAAATATTTATTGATACAAGCATCTAAAAATGCTTGTGGTAAAAAAAAAAAAAAAAAAAGCTCCAGTCTTAAATATAAAAACTAATTGAAAATTTAATTTAGTTGGGCTTGCCGGAATCATGGTGAAAGAGAAGTTTCCGATGGGAGTGGATTTCGTTCCGTCCTCCCCTCTGGCTGGGTTGTTTGATTTGGATTGAGCTTGTGCCCTAAGCTTTGCAATCCCCAACGTTTCCCCAAGGGGATTATGTAATTAAGGGCCGAAAAATTCAATTGGGCCGAATGAGAGGCGATATAGTATTGAGGCCCAAGGTCCAAGTGCTCAATTCAGCTCTGCGATTTTTCTTGTTGCATTCTCTGCTCCTCTGGGTGATATTAGAAATTATTCCTACCAATCATTTTTTCTCTTCTTTTCGAAATTTCCATTCCTCCCTTATCAGTTCTCACTTAGTTTTTAAGTTTGGTCGGTCGGGTTTAAAATTTTGGTGAGGGATAAGAATCAATCCAATTTTGGCCCAGAAATTTCACATTTCAATTACTGTTTAATTGTTTGTGTTAGTTTCAGTTTTTTTTAAAAAATTTTTAATGTAGATATTTATGTGTTACTCTAATAAGCAAAACAGGAAAAAGAGGCGTGAAAATTAAGAAAGAGAAGGGGATTCAAAGTTCAGACTCGAGGAGATTGGGTTGTCGTTCACTTTTTTCTCCTAATACTAATAATATGTTATTTTTTCTTGTAGATATATAGCTCCATATAATTTCTATAATTTTTAATTTAAAATATTTCTGAAATTATTTGTTTTTAAAAAAAAAAAGGAAATATGGCCATATGTGTTGCTAGGAGTCATGTATAGTGAACATGTAACTAAACTACAACATGAATAGCGCAATAAAACCAGGGAAAAAAAAAAACATAAAGCATTGCAGGTTATATAAAATATAATATGGCATTGAACAGATTTGATATTATATTTCAATATTTTTAAAGAACAAGTTTTCACATGATGATACTTTGTTTGATATAATTAAATTTAATTATGAAATCGTTAAAAAATTTTTTTTCCATCAACAAGCACAGTTTTCTCAAGAACACATTATTCATAGATGGCAACCCTAGAATGTGATCATATTTACCAAGTACTCAGGCGAAAAATATCAAATTGTCCCCAATGAATATTAATTAAAAAAAAACTAAAAAGGAGATAAATTAACTGTTGAAAGAGACGTCCCACAACAATATCAAATCACATGTGTCCACAATAAAGGCAGTGAAATAAACGCATACAAAAAAGGGATTAATAATGAGCATGTTACTGCTTGCTCAAACATTATTCTATCAAAAGATTACTACGCTGCTGTGGGTGGATTGCATGTGTTGGGCTTGGCGTGCAATGCATTCACTCCAACACCAATATTATGCAATTGCGACGCATGGAACGTGAGCAAAATTTTGGCGAACATGTACATCGTCAGCCAACAACAATGGGCATCCAATTATGCTCATTGCTTTTAATGATCTGAGATTACGAAGGCCTTCAGGGAGCGATCTCAGATACCTGCAATCAATGAGTCGAAGAAGTCGCAGTTCCACGAGATTTCCAATCCAGTCTGGTAACCTTTCTCCACAAAATCTTCTAATGTGTAAACGTTTGATGGTATGATGAGGACGAAGCCTTTCTAAAATCAATTCATCAGAAGCATCGTTAGAGAATTCACCAAACGGAGAGTATATTGGGTCCCAATAGAAGGATAAACATTGAAGATGTTGCTTCTCTTTTAATCTTGCAGACTCGGCCTCTTCAGGGTTTGACCTCAGGTGTTTCAACCCGCTTATTGTTAGACGCCCTTTCAAGTTGTTAAGCTCACCCAATTCACTTATCCTTGCACTTGCCCTTTTCTCATGCATCTGCTTGTTATCTACTACAAAATCTGTCAAGGTCTGAAGAGAAGTTAATTGCCGCAAACCATTTGGCATCCATTCCAACCCATCACAAAAGTTAAGATCAAGATGCCTCAAGCTTACTAATTTACTAATGTCTTCAGGCAATTCCCGAATTGATGAATTGCATGCGAGGTTTAAGGTTTGCAAGTTGTGGAGTTTGGTAATAGTTCTTGGGACCTGCTTGATATTATTACATGAAAGATCAAGAAATCTTAGATGCTTCAATTTTTCAATGCTTTTCGGAATTTTGGTCGTGCATGAATTACTTAGGTTCAAAACACGTAACAATTTCAGTTTTGATGCAACCAAATCAAAAATAGGGTGGTCCTTCTGACGAGAAAAAGAGTGGGTGAGCAAAAGCATTGTTCTTAATTTTTCAAACTCAAGAAAGGAAGTTGGAACTTCCCAATTTTCTCTCGGCACATCATATGCTAAGTGACGTATTGTGTCTTTAGTACTCTCTGCTTTTTCTTCTTTAATGAGAAGATACTCATCCTTTGCTATAAATTGTGCTAAATCATGAATGAGATCATGCATTTTGCATGTCTCTATGTCACCATATTCATCTCTTATGATATTTTGGAAGAAGGATCTTGAAAGCAGATTCATAAAGTATTCATTCCCAAGATCCTCCTCACACCTCATCTGATTAGCTGATTGAATGAATCCTTCGGCCACCCACATTTGAATTAGTGTTTGCTTCTTGAACACAAAATCTTTTGGAAACAAGGAACAAAAAGCAATACAATTTTTCATGGGTGAAGGAAGATTATCATAAGAGAGTTTAAGAATAGCAAAGATTCTCTCCTCCAACTTATCTACCTTCCAAAGCTCACAATTCCTTAAGTATGATAGATCTGTTATTCCTTCTAAGATTTTATCATACACAAGCCTTCCAACCGCTCTAATAGCAAGAGGAACTCCTCCACATTTCTTTACAACCTCATTGCCAATTTCTAACAACTTCTTATCATTTGACTCTCTATCCCCTTCGAAAGCCATTCTACAAAACAACTCCCACGATCTTTTACCATCTAAACCTTCAAGGATAATTGGCGGATAGTTGCCCATCATCTTTCCCACCTTTCCACTACGTGTGGTAACAATTATCATGCTCCCCTCTTCTCCCATGGTCAGTAAACTTCTCAACTTACGCCAAAGATCAACATCATCATTCCACACATTATCTAACACGATCAAAAACTTCTTCCCCTCTATTAATTGTCTAAGATCTTGTTGCACTTCCTCCATCTCTTTTGAACTTTTTTGCTCTAAAATCTTTTGTGCTATTTGTTTTACGTCAAATTCATCAGACACACATACCCACCTTTGCAACCCAAAATGTTTTTGAACATCCACATGATTGTACACAATTTGAGCAAGTGTAGTCTTTCCTAACCCTCCAAATCCAACAATGGGAATAATTGAAACACTAGCTTCTGCATCATTGTCTAACAAATAACTTAAAATCATATCCTTTTCCTTTTCTCTCCCAATGATTTCATCTTCTTGCACAAAAGAGTATGTTTGCTTTCGTTCCTCTAGTAGAGATAAAGGCTTAGGAGGGTGGTCATCGAAATCAAATTGTTTCTTGTCCGTATCAATTTCACCTAGCCTTCCCCTGAGTTCCCTCAATTTATGAGCCATCTTAAAGTTATAAACAACTTGGTTTGATTTTGAGAAGAAGATCCGTACCTTCTTTGCTACCTTTCTTGTCATGATTCCCCTCCTCAAAGCTTCAGTGGACAAATCATCAAGCAGGTCATCTGCATCATAGAGGACATCTTTCAATCTCTTCAGCCAAAAGCTGACTTGATGGTTATTGTTGGCCCTTGCCTCTGCATCCAACAGTGTAGCTCTGATGGCAAGGATCGTGTTCTTCATGCTTTCTGCATCATGTTTAGCATTCCGCAGCAATTTGAACTCTTCAAGAGCCACAGAGGTCAGTCCCTGAAAAACATTCCCAGCAATGGCGTCCATCTTTTTGGTGTGGTTGAAAGAAATTCTTATGATTTTTGGTTTTTGAGTTTGGTGAGTATCGCTGCAAACTCCAGCTTGCATATAAATAGCAAGAAGGGCTTTTACATTTTTAATACAAGTGATTTCGTTAAATTTATTATATCGATGTACAATTTTATATTTAATTTATTGTTTTTATATATTTTTAATTAAAGAAAGCATATATTAAACATAAGTAAAATTAAGATTAATGAGATTTAAAATATTTCTTTATTATTGTAAAATAGTAAATGCCTTGTAGGACCAAAGAAGAATACATATACACATTTAGAGAGAGTTTTTTTTTTTCCTTAAAAAAAGGATGATACAATTGTTCCTCCTCAAGTTTACGTTTTATTTGGTTTTAATCCCTGAAATTCAAGATCATTGCTTTTGGTCCCCAAGTTTATTTCGTTTAAAACTGTTAACCCCTATAGATTGAGAAGGACTTGGACCCAGTATTGATGGTGTCAAGTCTGCTTAGGTGTCATTGTGCTGACTAGACGAGTTGAGGTGTATATGAAAAAAGGGGGAAAAGGGAGTAATGATCGGGGTCGCGGCTCCTCCTGCTGAGAAGACCACCGAGCTCCAGCTCTGCTTGATGAAGAAGATGATGAAGAACAATGGCTCTCTCCTCTCTCTTCCGGTTCAAAACCATTTCTTCCTTGCCATCGCAAATATCAATTCATGCCACCTTAGAACCTGGTCAGGAATGGGGCTTGGGAAGGATGCTCTTTTATCCTCCTCAATTCTCTTTGTTTTAGTTTTTCTCCCTGTTCACCATGTTCGTATTGTGTGTTTGGTGTGTTCCATGCGCATTGTGATCTGTGCATCATGGCCCAATGCCAACTGGTCTAGTCTTTGTCTTTGTCTTTTAGTCGAATTTGAATTTTTTTCATGTAATCATTTATTTATTTTTTTATATTAAAAGAACACTTTTTGAGAAAATAAACATTAAAAATTCATTGATGCTAAGAAGGCGGACGTCTTTTAGCTTGGTCACATGAAAATGGCATCTTTCTGGTCTACATTCAGCGTTTTTCACCTTTTTAATATCCAAAACACAAGGCTGGCTTTGGGACATGGGAGCACATTGTATGCTGATCGAGATGTGGACCATCCAATTTCCCCCCCTCTTTTTTGGGTAAAATGGACCATCCAAATTAATTGTTCCATCATGAAGATTTAATTTAAATTTTTTTACATTTTAAACAAATTTTTATTTTAATAGATATATAATTTAGAATAAAGAAAATTATATGTCACTGAGCTCTGTCGCTTGGCCTGGTGGTTAGAAAGGGTGCCCAAGGTTGCACTCGTCTCCAGGTCTCAGTTTCGACATCTCACCTCGCCTTTTTGGACAAACTCCGGATTAGTCAATCCCTTTGGGAGTCGAATACAAGGGGAGTTATAACCTAATTCAAAAAAAAAAAGAAATTATATGTCACTTCTAAAACGTTATAATTGAAAACATTTTTGGATCGCCAGAATGAGTAATCCACGATCTTGGAAAACGTAATTTTGCCTTTGCATCAAAGCTACTATTGGCACATGAATCTCGACTACAAACACACTTGCCCCACACAATGATGTGGACGTTTGTGGAATTTTACATCGTGAATGTGATATTATATGTACACATTTATATATATACAACTTGGAAAACGTAATTTTACATGATGCTCTCATTCAACATCGTCGCAGTCTCTTGCTTGAGGGCGTCGCATTCTCGTCGGACTCGAAATATTAGGGGAGGAAGGGACGCGGATGCACACAGCCCCACAAGAGGAGGACAAAATTAAAATCGTTTAGGCGGGAAACTACCTGATGTATAATTAAGAGTTAAATTATACGCTTGGTTCTATAAATTAACATTAAATATTTAAATTTTATTTTAATAGTTTTGCTTCCTTAATCCTAGTACTGTTAATTTCATTTTTGAGAGAAAATTATGTAGCTTTTCTTTGGGGTTCTATTGGGCCTAACAAACTTATAAGGCCCAATGAGAGGCGCTATAGTACAGAGGCCCAAGGTCCAAGGGCGCAATTTAGCTCTGCGGCTTTTCTTGTTACATTCTATGCTCCTTTGAGCGACATTAGGAATTATTCTTACTTCGAAAGGGTAACATCACTGTCTTTTTTTTGATTTATGTGGATGACATTTTGATCACTGGAAACAATTCGGATTATCTTAAAAGTTTTGTGCAAAAACTGAACTCTATGTTCTATTTGAAAGATCATGGACTGTTATACTATTTTCTGGGTCTTGAAGTTTTTAGAGACAGTTCTGGAATTTTTCTGAATCAAGGGAAATATGTATTGGATCTGTTAAAGAAATTTAATATGCTAGATTGTGCCCCTGTCCAAACACCTATGGTTATAGGTAGACATTTTTCATTTGATGATGGTGAATTGATGAAAGATCCCACTCTGTACAGAAGAGCCATAGGATCCTTACAGTATTTAACAACTACTCGGCCGGATATTGGTTTTTCTGTAAATAAGCTAAGTCAATTTTTATCAAATCCAACAGTGAACCATTTTCAAGCTGTCAAGCGTATACTGAGATATTTGAAAGGAACATACAATTATAGCTTGCACATAAAACCTCTATCATCTCTACAAATTATGGCATATACTGATGCTGATTGGGCTGCTGATCTTGATGACTGAAAATCCATGGGAGGTTTTTGTGTTTATCTGGGTAATACGTTAGTTTCCTGGTCTTCTCGTAAACAGAGGGTGGTCTCCAGATCCAGCGTTGAGTCTGAATATCGAGCATTAGCTGATGGAGCTGCTGAGGTAAAATGGATCACATCTTTATTATTTGAATTAGGCTTGTTTTTAAAACAACCTGCTGTGCTGTGGTGTGACAACATTAGTGCACGAGCTCTAGCTTCAAATTCAGTTCAACATAGTCGGAGCAAACATATAGAGATTGATATTCATTTTGTTAGAGATCTGCTGGCTTCTCGATGTATTGACATAAGATATATACCTTCAAGTCATCAGGTAGCAGACTGCCTAACAAAGTCTCTTGCTCACTCTCAGTTCTCCCACTTCAGGCGCAAACTCGGGCTGTCTATCACACCCTCTCGTTTGAGGGGGAATGTTAAAGCATAACATATTATATCATATTTTGTATTAAGAGTCTGATATTGTATCAGCTATAGCTTGTCTAGAATCTTCTCACCTTTACATGTGTCTAGCTTCAATAGGCTCTCAATTATTTTTCTGCTGATTCTTTGTAATGCGTTTTGTCCTCTAGCTATTGTATTCTTGTCTATATATTCAATAAAGAAATGCAGAGTACTGTGCTTCAAATTATTCAATTCCTTCTACCCTAGCTTTTCTATCTGATTCTTTGGAGTGAACAACGAGTTCTCACATAATACTACTTTGTTTCGCATAATTAAACTTATTTAAAAATTTATTACTTTTTTTATCAACATATTTTCGTTGATTGATTTAGCGCGGACCAAGTCATTCACTTCTACATTTTTCTCAACATAAAGACAGCAGCCTCAGAATCTGTTCAGGTCAAGAAAAGAGGGGGAAAAAAACTCTTAGAATGTGATTGTAATTGTCAAGTATTCAAATGAAAATGTTATAGTATCAATGGCTGTATTACTGAATAGAAAGAAATGGGGGGAAAAAAAACAAAATCAATATTGCAGATATGCGAGAGAGGCATTGCAAAGAAGTTGCCGATTTGTTGATAAACTTTCATTGCTTCTTAAGAAGTCTGCACTTCGCTGCCAATAACGATATTTCCAATCCAGTCTGGTAACCTTTCTCCGCAAAATCTTGTAACTACTGGAGCTTTGATGGTATGATGAGGAGGAAGCCTTAGTAAAATCAATTCAACAGAAAGAACTTTAGAATAATCGTCACATGCAATGTCAAATGTGTCCCAAACCAATGATAATATTTAAAATTGTTGCTTCTTTTTTAATCTTGCAGACTCAACCTCTTGGCACTTCTGGAACAGCATCATTAGAAATGAGGTCTGAGGTTAGAAAGCTTGTGGAGTTTGGCTGTAGCTTGAAACCTGCCTGATATTCATTGACTTTGGCAGTGCTTTGTGGAATTTTGGTAACGCTCGAGGTGTGTAAGCCCAAAAGATGTGGGCATTTCAATTTTGATCACCCAAATGTTAAAAAAAAAAAAAAAGGCAAAAAAAAACAAAAAAAAAAAAGAAAAAAAAAAAACAGAGCGATCCATCAAAAAAAAAAATATTGATGACAAAAAGCATTGTTCATCTCAACACCCCTTCGCATTCAATTATCATGTTAGGTTGGTTGGGCTTAAAATTGAGTAAAGGTACATCCAAAACCTGATCTTATTTTTAATATGCATCCAGGACTCTAATCTTTTTTATGGTTCAACATGCTTTTTTTTTTAAAAATACATCCAATACTTTAATCTTATTTTAAATGCAACTAGCACGCTAAAAATTAGGGTGCCAAATGTTATTAAAACAAATAATATCAAGGTAGTACATGCTCCAAAAAAATAATATCAAGGTACTGAATGTATCATAAAAAATATTAAGGTGTTGGGTATACCTAAGAAATAATATTAAGATGCTATATAACCTTTAAATTCTAGTTTTTATTATTATTTTGTTAATGAAAACATGCATCTCTAACTTATAGGAACAACTTTTCTTTTCTTTTCTCTTTTTTTGGGGGAGGATCGGGAAATAAGGGTGTTCAAAGAGTAAGACAAAATCAAGACAACTCCATCCTAATTATTTAGAAGAAGGTTTTTTAGCCCCATGTCCCTATCTTGAAGGGATTCCATCTTGGCCAGGACGAGACCATAATATCTCATTTAGATTATATAATATTCTGACAATGACAATCAAATTAGGAGCACGCTACTCCTTATGCAAGTATTCAATCAAGAGATTACTAAACCTCGTGGGTGGATTACATCTGTTGTGCTTGGCTAGCAAAGCAGTCACTCCAAGCACCAATATTATCCAATCTGCACAAATGAAATATGAGAAAATTTTTGCCGCTCATTAGCAGCCAACAATGGGGATCCCTCTATGATCAATGTTTCTAATGATTGAAGACTACGAAGGCCTTCAGGAAGTGATGTCAAATACTCACAATAAGAGAGCTCAAGATACCGTAGTTCCACGAGATTTCCGATCCAGTCCGGCAATCTCTCTCCACAAAATCTTCTAATTCATAGAAATTTGATGGTATGATGAGGACGAAGCCTTTCTAAAATAAATTCATCAGAAGCATCTTTAGAGAATTCACCAAATGGAGAGTGGAATGCATCCCAATACAAGGATAAATGTTGGACATGTTGCTTCTCATTTAATCTTGCAGACTCAGCCTCTTCAGGGTTTAACCTCACGTGTTTCAGCCCGCTTATTGTTAGACTCCCTCTCAAGTTGCTATGCTCACCCAATTCAGTTATCCTTGCACTTGCCCTTCTCTCGTGCATGGCCTGGTCACCTACTACAAAATCTGTTATGGTTTGGAGAGAAGTTAATTGCCCCAAACCACTTGGCATCCATTTTAACTGATCACAACCACCAAGATAAAGATGCTTCAAGCTTACCAATTTGGCAATATCTCTAGGCAATTCCCGAATTGCACTATGACTGAGGCTAAATCATGAACAAGGTCATGCATTTTACATGACTCTATGTCACCATACAAATCTCTTCGGGCATCTTGAAAGAAGGATCTTGAAAGTAGATTCATAAAATATTCATTCCCAACATCTTCCTCACCCCTCATCTGATTAGTTGATTGAATAAATCCTTCAGCCATCCACATTTCGATTAGCATTTGCTTCTTGAATTCAAAAGCTTTTGGGAATAGCGAACAAAACGCAACACAGTTTTTCATGGGTGAAGGAAGATTATCATAAGAGAGTTTAAGCACTCCAAAGATTCTTTCCTCCAAATGATCCATATTCCAAAGCTCACAATTCCTCAAGTATGACAAATTTGTTATTCCTTCTAAGGTTTTATCATACACGAGACTTCCAACAACTCTAATAGCAAGAGGAACTCCTGCACATTTCCTTACAACCTCCTTTCCAATTGCCAACAACTCTTTATCATTTGATTCTCTACCCCTTTCGAAAGCCATTGTACAAAACAACTCCCACGATCTTTCACCACCTAAACCTTTAAGGATAATTGGCGTATAGGTGCCCATCATCTTTCCCACCTTCTCACTACGTGTGGTAACAATTACCGTGCTCCCCTCTGCTCCCATGGTTAGGAAACTTTTCAGTTTATGCCAAATCCCAACATCTTCATTCCACACATCGTCCAACACAATCAAAAATTTCTCCCCTTCTATTAATTGTCTAAAGTCTTGTTGCACTTGCTCTATCTCTTTTGGATCTGCTTGCCCTAAAATCTTTTGAGCTATTTGTCTTACATCAAATTCATTGCCCGCACACACCCACCTTTTCAACCCAAAATGTTTATGAACATCCACATGATTGTACACAAGTTGAGCGAGTGCAGTCTTACCTAACCCTCCAAATCCAACAATGGGAATAATTGAAACACTAGATTTCACACCACTGTCTAACAAATAATGTAAAATCATATCCTTTTCCTCCTCTCTCCCAATAATTTCATCTTCATGCACGAAAGAGTATGTTTGCCTTCGTTGCTCAAGTACAGGTGAAGGCTTAGGAGGGTGATCAATCAAATGAAATTGCTTCTTGTCATTATCAATTTCATCTAGCATTCCCCTGACTTCAGTGGATAAATCATCCAGCAGGTCATCTGCATCATAGAGCACGTCTTTGAGTCTGGCAAGCCAAAAGCGGACTTGATGGTTATTGTTGGCCTTTGCCTCTGCATCCAACAATGTAGCTCTGATTGCACGGATAGTGTTCTTCATCCTTTTTACATCATTTTTACCATTCCACAGCAATTTGAACTCTTCAAGAGCATAAGAGGTCAGTCCCTGGAGAGTAGTCACAGCGATGGCATCCATCTTTTAGATGAGGGTGAAAGAAATTCTTATGATTTTTAGTTTGTGGGTTTCGTGAGTATTGCTGCAAACTCCAGCTTGCATACAAATAGCAAAGAATGCCTTTTACTTTCTCAGAAGCAAACTTGCAAATATGAACCGATAGATAAAAAAAATGAAGAATAATTGACTTGTATTGTTGATGAATTGGGTACTCTGTTTTTGTACTCTCTATACAGAGCAAGTGCTATATATAAATATCATATTAACTAATTCAACTAATATCTTTAATCTTTAAACTACAACCTTAGAGTGTGTTGAGTCAAAAGGTTAAAAAAAAAGAAACTTATAATGTGATTGTATTTGACAAGTATTCCGATGAAAATGTTATAGCATCGCTGGCTGTATTATTCATTAGAAAGAAATAAACCAAAAAAAAAAAAAAAAGATCAATGTTGCAGATATATAAAAATCTACAAAACCAAACACTGCTCTGTTCCATGTCCTTTTAGTAGTAGAACATCCTTAATTCGAGACGCAGTGCTCCGAGGAAAAATTTAACTACATTAAAATGAAAACAAAGAAACCAAATAAAGAACACTCATTGTTACTATCTTTGACGAGTTGGAAAGAGATTTTCTATGACTTTCGTGGAAGTTACATACATAGTACAAAAATTAATTAGTTATATATATATATGTGTATAGAGAGAGAGAGAGAGAGAGTAGAACTTTGCTAACTGGTTAAGTTTAAATCATCAATATTTAGTCAGAATTCCGTAACAGGGAGCACGTTCTGTGACTTTCTCGGAAGATAAAGAGGAACTCCTGAAAGGGATTAACAAGAAGATCAAATCACAGTCCAAGCAGCTTTGTCATTCTAAACACGTAAAGGAAGATAGGGAGAAGCTTCTTTTCATTGATCGTATCATTTATATTTAAAAACAAATAAATTAAAGCCTGGAATTTATATATTGATTATATTAGTTGAGCAGTGTTTGAGGAAGTTGTTGAGCATGGCTTTAGTTTGAAATTTCAACCATATCTTAATCACTATCAGGCTCCCTTTTCCAATTCACATTGACTCAAAAGGGATAAGAATGTTGGCTGGCTCGTCCAATTCTCACCACACGACAATCTCTTTTTAAGTTCTGTCGATTGCTTAAACCCCCCCCCCCAAAAAAGTCATGTCGGCTAAGTTATAAAATGGCTTTACTCTAGTTTATAAAAGTCAACGGAAAATTTGAACTTTTTTCCCCGATACTTTCAAATAACCCTTTTGCATTCTCAAATATCGCTTGTCTTTATAATGTGTGTGTGTATAAGTTATATATGTATGTGTATGCGTATAAATATGTGTAGGGACTGGGAGAAAAATGAAGAATAACTTGTATTGTTGATGAGTAAGATAATCTGTTTTCTTAAATTTTTTAATGTAGACATTTATCTTTTACTATAAGCAAAAGAGGAACAAGAGGCGTGACAATTAAGAAAGAGAAGGGGCTTCAAGGTTCAGAGACTTTGGAAGATTGGATTCTTCTTCACTGTTTGGCGAGTATTCGCTGCAAACTCCAGCTTATGTATTAATAGCAAAGAATGCCTTGTAAGTTTTCGTAACTTTGTATGGGTCTAGTTTGAAATTCAGCCATATATATCTTTATCATTATCTGATAATGGGGGAATTATAATAATGTCTCCAAGAAGAAAAATAATTACTACAAAATCACAATAACAATCTAAATAGCCTATAATACTACCTCCGGTCCTAATTATAAAACCCAATTGACTAATTTGAAGAGATTAAGGAAGTAAGTTAAGTTAGTTATTTGTAATAAATAAGTGTTGTTATTCCTAAAATATTCTTGCTAATTAAGTATATTGGTTAGAGCTATCATTATTAAAAGGACTATCTTGGAAAAAAATGCATAAATATGAGAGACAAAATAGATTGGGGTCTTATAATTAGGACCAAACTAAAAGTCAAACGGGGTCTTATATTAAGGACTGGAGGTAGTAACAAGTTTCAGAACAGAAAATAACAATTCCTTGTAATTATTTTTCTTATTTAGAATCTTATTATAATCCTCCCTCTAGTAATCCCGACAGGACCACAAGAACATGCATGCACCTGTTTCCATGATCCGGTCCCATTGACGCGGAAGGATAAGACTAGAGCCGCCGGTCCATTTCTCACCACACTTGCTTCTTCACTCGATGCTAGATTTTTCACAAACGATGTGTTTGAACTAATGGTGATAAAAATGATTTTTATTTTATCTTATTTTTGTAAATTTAAATTAGAGTAACGTAGGAAGTCTAAATATAAGTGGATTTGAGTCAAATGTAGGAAGTATCTCAATCAGTAAAGTTACCATAAGGGCTAACTTAGATTAACATTGATAAAGGTAATTTTTATCCCAATTGACTTGCAGATTGAAGATGAGGTAAAAGTCAATTGATGCCTCGGATTTATATTTAAATAAGCTTGTGTTAAAAAAAAAAAAAAGGGTCAGTCTGACATAAACTTGTATAGATAATAAGTTGAAAACTTTGTTTTAGAAGTCGGAAATTACAAAAAGTTATTTTAACTTGAAAGTGGCATTTGGCAAAAAAATCAGTTTCTTTTTTTTGCCAACGGCAAAATATCAGTTACTCTAAAAGCATGTTAAACTTTTTGTTTGTCATCGTCTCAAGGCTTATGCCACACAAGTTAAAGAACTCATAAAATCAAATGTTAAAGATTTTGAATTAAGGCGTGGCATCTTTCAACTACTCATTATCCATTTATTTTCTCCCCCGCTCTCCTTTCCTTATAGATATTACAGCCTGATTTCAGCCTAGTTTCATCAGTCCCTTGAGAACTTTCACACTTCACAGTGATGGAGTTCATCTTTTTTGGTAAATTTTATGATTTTAGTTTAATTTGTGGTTTTGATTTATGTTGCTGCAAGCCCAGTTTGAATAAATCATTGAGTTGGAACTTGGAAGGTAATGTTCTGTGACTTTCCTGGGAGTTATGCCCCTAGCAGAAAATTTAAAAAGCATTCCGAGCCAAATAACCTCTGACAGAGATTGAAACAACGTCAAAAAATCAACTCACACTCCAAGCGGTGGTGTCTACGCAGAGGAACATAGGAGGTAGCTTCTTTTCATTCGTTTCATCATTTTCTTTCCTTCTTGTGTTTTTTATGTCTTCCCCCAAACCTTATTTAAATTGTTTTGGTTATTCATCCGCATTATACCTCTCATCAAAGTGGGAGCATAGCACCAATAAGTTATTGGTTAAGGTAGTAACAACCTAACTCTTATAAGAAGAATAATATAAATTCGAATCCTGAAAATCACACTTGTTGGGAGGGCTACTTTTTAATTGTTCTAGACCCAAAAGGAATTAGTTTTAAGGTCATTGTGATTTTGGATACCCCATATTTCACCTACAATCATTCGCAAACATTATTAAGGCCCAAGAAAAAAAAAACATTAGCAACAAGATTTAATGAAGAGGAAGGAAAATTAATTACCTGAGAAATCTCAGTATAAATCTACCTGGACGCCGGTCTAGCAACCCGCAACAAAAATCCAGCAAGCAAATATTAACTAATTTGACTTTCCATTTTTGGCCCCGAAGAACAAGTTTTGAAACAATCCTTTACTTTGTTTGACATAATTAAAATTAATGCTATTTAAGAATCATTAAATTTTTTTCTGGAGAACATAAAATGTTAGAAACTGCAACCTTAGAATGTGCTCAGTCAAAAAACAAAAACCACCTACAATTTGATTGTAATCGACAAGTATTCCAATGGAAATGTTATAGCATCACTGGCTATGCAATGATGAGAAAGAAATTAACCCCAAAAAAAAAAATCAATGTTGCAGAAATATAAAAATCTTCAAAACCAAAGACTGCTCTGTTCCATGTCTTTTTAACATATTAGAACAGCCCCAGTTCGAAACGCAGTGCTCCCAGGGAAAATTTTGACTAAAGAGGAAAGAAAAACAAGAAAGAAAGCAATAGGCTGTCAATTTGCTAATAACACATGAATACTTATTGTTACTATTTGACTTGTTAGAAAGTGATTTTCTATGACTTTCGTGAAAGTTACATGAATATTACTACCTCTGGTCTTTAATATAAGATCTCGTTTAACTTTTATTTTGGTCCTAAATATAAGACCCCAATCCACTTTATATCTCATATTTATGTATTTTTTTTCAAGGTAGTCCTTCTAATAATGTTAGTTCTAGCCAATACACTTGATTAGCAAGGATATTTTAGGAAAAACATCTATTTATTACAAATAACTAACTTAACTTATTTTTTTAATCTTCTCAAATTAGTCAACTAACTTTTATAATTAAGATAGAAGGTAGTACATATTGGAAAATTACACACACACACACATATAAGGGAACATTGCTTCCTGGTTTTCTTCTATTTCCACCTTGTTAAATTTAAATGGAAGAATTACAATCAAGTCTAAATAAGAAAAATAATTACTAAAAAGTCCTATTAATAACTTGAGCAGCCTGTAATACTAAGTTTAAGAGTAAGAAATAACATAAGACTCATTTTATAATTTTTTTTTACTTCACTGTAATTCTCCCAATTTAAATCATCAATATTTAGTCAGAATTTCGTACCAGTGAAACACACTCTCTGACTTTCCCGGAAGGTGCACATATTGCACTTTTATTCAAAGCCAAAGGAAGTAATCCCTGAAACTCCAAGCAGCTTTGTCATTCTGAACACGTAGAGGGAAATAATGAGAACCTTCTTTTCAAAACCAAACACTGCTCTTATGATCCTCTCAGGCTCTCTCTCGTGCTGCGTCTCGAACCAGCGACCTTGCGGCTGAGACCATTCCTCCACGCCAGCAAGTTACGCGACACGCAAGCAAACCAAGCGCTGCGCTGGTTGCACGGGGTCTAATAAATGAACAAAATGCACGAATCAACATGTGTATGATTCTATTCATTTGAAAATGCAAGAGACTCAGAGAGAGAGAGAGAGAGAGAGATATATATATATATATATATATATATTTTAACGAGCAGAGAGACTCTGATCCAAAAAGTCAGTCGATTTATCTATCAATAAACATGCAAAAAATTATGGGTAAAAATTCATCTTTTCATTTGGTGTCAATTAATAATCACTCATCGGTCATTTGCCTTTGCATTTTCCTCAATAACAGAATGTATGCATAGTCCGAATGCAACAACGATTCAGACCAAGATGATGTTTCAAAATCCCCAAATGATCACTTAAATAAGCAAAATTCTAAATTGGGTAAAGTGACTAAATTAGGATTTGCAAATTTATTGAAATGATCATATTGTTTTTTTTTAAAATATACCAAGCACCTTTACCGGTGGCCGGTGGCCGGAGTTGAGGTGGGTCGTTATCACTAGAGCTCCAACTACAGTTTGACAATTGGCTAACAAAGCTCCGTGTGGCCGGCAAATGTCTTTTTAGAGATTTTTATGACTTCAGTGATGCGATTAACAAGTTTTTTAACGTTATTAATAACTTTGTTATAACAATTAACAATAGATTTTTCAGAAAATTCAAAAAGTAGCATTTTCAGAACTTCGATAATTAGATTAACAAATTCTGTAACACTATTAATAAGTTTGATATAGCAATTAACAATATGTTTTTTGAAAAATTCGAAAAGTGACATTTTTACAACTTCAGTAACCCAAATAACAAGTCATGTAACGATTTTAACAACTTTTATAATGCCATTAACAAGTCATGTAATGATATCAACAATTCTCATAACCATAATGACTACCTAATAAATGAAAAAAATTTGATGTACAACTTTGATAGGGAACTTATAATAAAACATCAACCTTTATAAGGAAAACTTTTTAATGGCACTATTAGAGTTGTTAATATCATTATATAACTTGTTAATTGTATTACTGAAATTGTAAAGATATCACTTTTTAAATTTTTTTTAAAAAACTGTTATTAACTACTATATCAAACTTGTTAATAATACTCCTCCAATCCTTATTATAAGACCTCATTTGACTTTTTATTTGGTCCTAATTATAAGACCCCAATTCATTTTGTCTCTTATATTTATGCATTTTTTCCCAAGATAATCCTTCTAATAATGATAGTTTTAGCCAATATACTTAATTAGCAAGGATATTTTAAGAATGACAACACTTATTTATTATAAATAACCAATTTAACTTACTTCCTTAATCTCCTCAAATAAGTCAACTGGGTCTTATAATTAGGACCGGAGGAGTATTACGGAACTTGTTGACCGTGTTATTAAAGTTGTAAAAAATGTTACTTTTTCAATTTTTTTTAAAAATCTGTTGTTAACTATTATACCAAACTTGTTAATAGCGTTAAAAAACGTGTTAACCGTATTATTGAAGTCATAAAAATATCCACAAAAAATAGTTGCCGACCACTGGAACTCAGGCAACTGGTCATCCACCTGCTATCAAAGCTTCAGTGATGGCAGCCTACCTGAACTTTGGTGACTGCTACCAGCAGTGGAGCTTTGGCGGCCGGCTACTAGTGAGGGTGCTTGCTCAAACATTATTCTATCAAAAACTTACTACACCGTGGGCGGATTGCATGTGTTGGGCTTAGCGTGCAATGCATTCACTCCAACCACAAATATTACATAATGCTCACTTTTGGAATATGAGCAAAATTTTGCCGAACATCATCAGCGACCAACAATGGGGAATCACGTATGAGCAGTGATCGTAATGATGCGAGATTACGAAGACCTTCAGGAAGTGATATCAAATACCTGTAATGCACGAGCCCAAGATCTCAAAAGTGTTCTTCACTTTTTTCTCCATATAATTTCTATAATTTTTAATTTAAAATATTTCTGAAATTATTTTTCAAAAAAGAAAATATGGCCATATATGTTGCTAGGAATCATGTATAGTGAACATGTAACTAAACTACAACATCAATGGCGAGAAAACCAAGGGGAAAAACAAATCAAGTATTGCAGGTTATATAAAATATAATATGGCATTGACAAGATTTGATAATATATTCCAATATTTTAAAAGAACAAGTTTTCACATGATGATACTTTGCTTGACATAGTTAAAGTTAGTTATGAAACCATTAAATTTTTTTATCAACATTTACAGTTTTCTCAAGAACACATTGATAGATCACAAGCTTAGAATGTGATTGTATTTATCAAGTATTCAGGCGAAAAATATGGAATAATCACATGTGAATGTTAATTAAAAAACTTAAAAGGAAATAAACTAACTCTAGAAAGAGACTCACAACTACTCCTCTAATCCTATTTATAAGGCACTTTCACTATGTTTCATACAGACTAAGAAAAACCTTAAACTTTATTAACTCTCATTTAAAATTTAATAACTTTCTAACTTTATCCTTATTTAATATACATGATATCTCATGTAAACAAAATCAACACAATAATAAATAAGAGGTAAAATTGTGCATCCATATAAAAAATTTCTTTTAATGCCCTGTAAATACGACAAAAAAATGTCTTCTCTCTTTACCTTATAAATAGGACCAGAGGAGTATATCAAATCACCAACGTCCACAATAAAGGTAATGAAATAAAAGCATATGTATAAAAAAGGGACTAATTAGGAGCATGTTACTGCTTAGTCAAACATTATTCTGTTAAAAGATTACTACACTGTGGGTGGATTGCATGTGTTGGGCTTGGCGTGCAATGCATTCACTCCAACCACCAATATTATATAATGTCCACATATGGAATATGAGGAAAATTTTGCCGAACATCATCAGCCGAAAATGGGCATCCATGTATGCTCAATGTTTCTAATGATCTGAGATTACGAAGGCCTTCAGGAAGTGATCTCAAATAGCTGCAATCCATGAGCCCAAGGAATCGCAGTTCCACGAGATTTCCAATCCAATCTGGTAACCTTTCTCCACAAAATCTCTTAATAAGTAAACCTTTGATGGTATGATGAGGACGAAGCCTTTCTAAAATCAATTCGTCAGAGGCATTTTTAGAGACTTCACCACTCGGAAATAGGAATGGGTCCCAATACAAGGATAACGCTTGAAGATGTCGCTTCTCTTTTAATTTTGCAGACTCAACCTCTTCAGGGTTTGACCTCAGGCGTTTCAATCCACTTATTGTTAGACTCCCTCTCAAGTTGTTAAGCTCAACTAATTCGCTTATCCTTGTACTTGCCTTTTTCTCATGCATCTCCCGCTCATCTACCACAAAATTCGTCAAGGTTTGAAGAGAAGTTAATTGCCCCAAATTACTTGGCATCCGTTCCAACTCATTACAACACGTAAGATTAAGATGCCTCAAGCTTACTAATTTACTAATATCTGCTGGCAATTCCCGAATTGATGAATTCCAACCGAGGTTTAAGGTTTGCAAGTTGTGGAGTTTGGTAATAGTTCTTGGGACCTGCTTGATATTATTAGATGAAAGATCAAGAAATCTTAGATGCTTCAATTTTCCAATGCTTTTTGAAATTTTGGTCATGTATGAATTACTTAGGTTCAAAACACGTAAGAATTTCAATTTTGATGCAACCAAATCAAAAACAGGGTGATCCATCCTACAAAGAAAAGAATGGGTGAGCAAAAGCATTGTTCTTAATCTTTCAAACTCAAGAAAGGAAGTTGGAACTTCCCAATCTTCTCTCAATACATCATATGACAAGTGACGAATTGTGTCTTTAGTACTCTCTTCTTTTTTTTCTTTAATGAGAAGATACTCATCCTTTGCTACAAATTGTGCTAAATCATGAATGAGATCATGCATTTTGCATCCCACTATGTCACCAGTGTAATCTCTTTTGACATCTTGGGAGAAGGATCTTGAAAGTAGATTCATAAAATATTCATTCCCAAGATCTTCCTCACACCTCTTCTGATTAGTTGATTGAATGAATCCTTCAGCCATCCACATTAGAATTAGTGTTTGCTTGTGAAATGAAAAATCTTTTGGAAATAAGGAACAAAAAGCAATGCAATTTTTCATGGGTGAAGGAAGATGATCATAAGAGAGTTTAAGCACGATGAAGATTCTCTCCTCCAACTTATCTACCTTCCAAAGCTCACAATTCCTTAAAGTATGACAAATCTCTTAGTCCTTCTAAGACTTTATCATACACAAGCCTTCCAACAGCTCTAATAGCAAGAGGAACTCCTCCACATTTCTTTACAACCTCATTGCTAATTTCTAACAACTCCTTATCATTTGGTTCTCTACCCCCTTCGAAAGCCATACTACAAAACAAATTCCAAGATGTTTCACCATCTAAACCTTCAAGGATAATTGGCGAATAGGTGCCCATCATCCTTCCCACCTTCTCACTACGTGTGGTAACAATTATCATGCTCCCTTCTACACCTGTGGTTAATAAGCATTTCAACTTATGCCAAATCTCAACATCTTCATTCCACACATTATCCAACACAATCAAAAACTTCTTCCCCTCTATTAATCGTCTAAGATCTTGTTGCACTTCCTCCATCTCTTTTGAACTTTTTTGCTCTAAAATCTTTTGTGCTATTTGTTTTACATCAAATTCATCAGATACACACACCCACCTTTGCAACCCAAAATGTTTTTGAACATCCACATGATTGTACACAATTTGAGCAAGTGTGGTCTTTCCTAACCCTCCAAATCCAACAATGGGAATAATTGAAACACTAGATTCCGCATCACCGTCTAACAAATAACTTAAAATCACATCCTTTTCCTTTTCTCTCCCAATGATTTCATCTTCTTGCACAAAAGAGTATGTTTGCTTTCGTTCCTCAAGTACAGGCAGAGGCCTAGGAGTGTGATCAATGAAATGAAATTGTTTCTTGTCATTATCAATTTCATCTAGCCTTCTCCTGAGTTCCCTCAATTTATCAGCCATCTTAAAGTTATAAACAACTTGGTTTGATTTTGAGAAGAAGATCCGTACCTTCTTTGCCACCTTGTTTCTTGTCACGATTCCCCTCCTCAAAGCTTCGGTGGACAAACCATCAAGCAGGTCATCTGCATCATAGAGGACATCTTTCAATCTCTTCAGCCAAAAGCTGACTTGATGGTTATTGTTGGCCCTTGCCTCTGCATCCAACAGTGTAGCTCTGACGGCAAGGATCGTGTTCTTCATGCTTTCTGCATCATGTTTAGCATTCCACAGCAATTTGAACTCTTCAAGAGCCAAAGAGGTCAGTCCCTGAAAAACATTCACAGCAATGGCGTCCATCTTTTTGGTGTGGGCGAAAGAAATTCTTATGATTCGTAGTTTGTAGGTTTGGTGAGTAATGCTGCAAACTCCAACTCGGGTATTAATAGCAATGGATGCCTTTTACTTTTTCAAAAGCAACTTGCAACTGGCCGTTTAAGTAAGCTAAATTTGTCAAAGTGCGCAACATCAGAGTGGCAGCCCTCCATAAGAAATACTTTACCTCTTCAAATATTGATATTTATGATATTTAGGGCATGTTTGGGATCATATTTGGAGGTCCAAACATGCATCCCAACCAGAGAAGTAATAGGTAGGTTAAAAAATGATGCTTGGATTCACGTTTTGTGCATCTAACTTCTTTCACTGAAACGAACTTGTGTAATTAGCTCAAAGAAGCTGCTTTTACTCAATCTGACTAATGTAAAAGTCATATTGAAAAAAAGTTATTTCCATCACCGTCATCCCAAACACACCTTTAGAAAGTGATTTTCTATGACTTTCGCGGAAGTCACGCGCAGTGGAAAATTAATACACACGCACACATCCACACTAGAACTTAGCTTTCTGGTTTTCTTCTATTCCCATATTGTGAAAATTAACTCACCCCGTGATTTCCGCCAAGCTCTCATTCTTTGTCCTCATGAATTGAAGGATCTTCTCGTTATCATTTCACTTGGGAAAATTGTCATCTTAAACAAATTTGACTTTCCATTTTTTTTTGCCCTGAAGAACAAGTTTTCGCGCGGTCCTTTACTTTGTTTGATGTAATTAAGATTATTTAAATATCATTAAATTTTTTCTCAGTAACATAAAAATTTGAAAGTTAAAAACTGCAACCTCAGAGTGTGTTCAGTAAAAAAAAAAAAAAAACACTTAGAATGTGATTGTAATTGACAAGTATTCCGATCAAAATGTTATAGCATGGCTGGCTGTATTATTGATCAGAAACAAATAAACCTAAAAAAAAAAAAAATCAATGTTGCAGATGTATAAGAATCAACAAAACCAAACACTGCTCCGTTCCATGTCTTTTTAATATAGAAGAATATCCTTAATTCGAGACACAGTGCTCCAAGGAAAATTTTAGCTGTATTTAAAAAAAACAGAGAAACCAAATAAAGAGCACTTATTGTTACTAGCTTTGACGAGTTAGAAAGAGATTTTCTATGACTTTCCCGGAAGTTACGTACATGGTAAAAAATTAATGGGGAAAGAACAAATAAAAAAGGCTGAATATATAATATCTCAATTTGAAAAGTTAAAGATTGTAAATGACACAAAGGGAAGTTATTCCTAAATTAGAATTTTAAAATTTAATGAAATAACAAAAATATCCTTTGTCCTTTAAAAAAAAAAAAAAAGACTCAACTCCTCACTAGTGGCCAGCAGTTTTTTTGTCACAATTTTTTTGTCACAGATTTATTAAATAATTAAAAATATGAATTTACAAAATATAATAATTTAAAATTATTATAATAGGAAAAATTTATATTTAATGAATAAAATATATTTAAATTAGAAATCACAGTAATGTGAAAATTTTTGAACCAAATAATATTACATAATTAATGGGATGATATATTCTGCATGATTTATGTAAATATAAAATGAAAAATAATATTAAAAATTAAAAATGCTATAAAAATGTTAAAATTATTTTTACTTAAGAGAATATTAAAAATAAATAACCAATACTGATTGGGAAGCACAAAGAATATATAGAAAGAAGAATAAGAATAACATAAATATAACGGTAAAAATATCTTTTAATTTCAAAAAGTTACTTTTGCATAAGTTATAAGTAAGTTTTAGATGCATTTGTAATAATACTTAAAAAAACAACTTTTGATTCATAAGTTAGATTGGTCAAAAGCTATGGCAAACAGCTCTCAAATTTATAAACTGACTTATTATATCTATAAGTTACTTTTCTCCTACCAGACAGGTTGTATATTACTCTTCCTATTTATTAGGTAGAGAGAAGACATTTTTTGGTCATATTAATAGGGTACTGAGAGAAATTCTTTGCATAAATGTACAACTTTACCTTTCATTTATTATTGTGTTGATTTTGTTTAGATGGAGTATTATGTATATTAAATAGAGATAAAATTAAAAAGTTATTAAATTTTAAATAAAAGTTAATGAAGTTTAAAATTTTTCTTAATCTATATAAAATATGTTAAAAATAATTTATAAACAAAATCAGAAAAGTAGTTAAGGGTAGTGATTGAGGAAGTCGTTGAGTGTGGCTTTAGTTTGAAATTTCGGCCATATCTAATCAATATCAGATGCCCTTTTCCGATTCACGTTGACTTAAAAAGGAAAAGATTGGCGGCCGCTTGTCCAATTCTCACCACACGACTTTCTCTTTTTAAGTTTTGTCAATTGCTTAAAAGCCGAATAAATTCATGTGGACCGCGTTATAAAATGGCTCTACTCCGGTTCATAAAAATCAACGGAAAATTTGGACCCTTTTTTTTCGATATTTTCAAATAACCCTTTTGCATTCCCAAATATTGCTTGTCTCTATAATGTGAGTATATATAAATTATATATGTATGTGTATGCGTATAAATATATGTAGGGACCGAGAGAAAAATAAAGAATAACTGACTTGTATTGTTGATGAGTAAGATACTCTGTTTTCTTAAATTTTTTAATGTAGACATTTATCTTTTACTGTAATAGGCAAAAGAGGAAAAACAGGTATGAAAATTAAGAAACAGGCCTGATGTTCCAAAATTCTCAAATAGTCACTTAAATAAACAAAATTTGAATTTAAATATAAGCGATTAAATTGAGATTTACAAATTTATTGAAATGGTCATATTATCCTTTATTTAAAAAAAAAAATACCACGCCTCACTGGAGGCTGACCGCCAAAGTTTAAGTGGGTCGCTATCACTAGAGCTCCAACACTAGTCCGACAACTAGTTGCTGAAGCTCCGTCGGCTAGTAACTTTTGTTTTTTAAGAGATTTTTACAGTTTCAGTAATACGATTAATAAATTCTATAACGCTATTAATAAGTTCGGTATAACAATTAACAATAAGTTTTTCAAAAAATTTAAAAAGTGACATTTTTATAACTTTAGTAACCCAGTTAACAAGTCATGTAATGATTTTAACAACTCTCATAATGCTATTAGCAACTCTAATAACAAGTCATGTAAGGACATTAAGAACTCTCACAACCATGATGATTACCTAATAAATGAAAATTTTTTTTGATGTACAACTTTGATAGGGAGCGAATGTTAAAAACATCAACTTTTATGGGGAAATTTTGTTAATGGTGCTATAAGAGTTGCCAATACTGTTACATAATTTGTTAATCGTGTTACTGAAGTTATAAAAATGTCTCTTTTTAAATTTTCTAAAAAACTGTTGTTAACTGCTATATCAAACTTGTTAATAGCGTTACAGAACTTATTAACCGCGTTACTGAATTTGTAAAAATGTTACTTTTTGAATTTTCTGAAAAAAAATCTTAGTAATTGTTATGATGAACTTATTAATAACGTTACTTGTTAATCTCATTATTCAAATCGTAAAAATATCCACCCAAAAAAAGTTGACGGAGCTTTGGCATTTGGTCATCGACCTACTGCTAGAGCTCTGGTGATGGCGGCCCACTTGAATTCTGATGTTCACTGCTAGCACCAGAGCTTCGACTTATTTAAGTAATCATCTGGGGGTTTTGAAATCTAAGAATCATTTTTATATCATTTTTCCTATATATTACTAGGAGACACATATGATAGATGTGAATAGAGGTGGTAATGCGGGCTGGCGGTGCAGATACGGGCCAGCCCGCAGCAGTGCGGGCCCAAAGCGGTGCGGGCTGAAGTAGCCCGTAAAATGCCAGCCCGAGCCCGCCTACATATTCTTTTTTTTTAAAAAAAATAAAAATTATTATTATTAATATAAGTTGAGCTTAATTTGAAATGTTAAAATTAGGTTTCGAATCTTAAATTTGAGTAGTGAGTTATGATAAAATAAAGTGAAGATTAATTTATAATTTAAGAATATATTTTTAAAAACTAATATATTTTTTATAAATAATTAATTTAACTAGTTTTTTTATTCAAAGTAATTTAGTTTTCTTATCCAAATTAATTAAATAGATATTTTATGTATAAATGTATAAGTATCACATGTTTATTTAATTTTATAAAGGCTTTTATAGTGACACAACAAATAAATGAAAAATAAAAGATGGATCATGATCTTCGTATAACTACACACAGAATCACAAATATATAAAGTGTTTAATTAGTTATGCAATGATATGAAAGAAGCAATGTTTAATTGTTCATGTGGAATTTGAGAGTCAAAATATTTTAATTATATTAGAAATTATATGAAAATTAAAATAATAAAAAAAGCGGGTTAGCCCGCGGCGGAGCGGGCTCAAAACGGTGCGGGCTGGAATAGCCCGCACCTTGGCGGGCTGGCATATTGCCAACCCGAGCCTGCCTTTTTTGGCGGGCTGGCAGGTTGGGCTTGCGGGCCCAGCTCGTATTACCGGCTCTAGACGTGAATTAGATTATAACAAGAATAACGAGAAAATCAGGAGAAAAAAAGCACTGCATATTATATAAAATATATAATGGTGTTGACCTAATTTGATATTACTACCTCCTGATCTTAGTATAAGAACTAGTTAATTTGAGTGGATTAAAAAAATTAGTTAAAGTAAATATTTATAATAAATATGTGGCATATTTCAAAAGTTTTAAAGAAAAAGTTTTCACATTTTTTTGACGTAATGAAACCTAATTAAGGAATCACTGAACTTTTTTTATCGACATTTTACCGTTTATTACTCAAGAACTCGTTCACATGATTGCATGTGGCAAGCATTCATACAGAAAATGTTAGCTCATCATTGACTGTACATTTGACCCCTTTTTTTGTACACCGGCTGTGCATTTAACCAGTGAATATTACTCAAAAAACTATAGAAGAAAGAGATTAACTTTTGAAACAGACTCTGCACAACAATATCAAGTC